ATGGATGAAGAAATAACTTGCGCCATTTGCCAAAAATCGCTTGATAATGTAAACGATGTCGTAACTCTTCGTAAGAAGGGAAGTGAGGGAATTAACCGAGCAAGCACAGAGCGCAATGACCTCATACAAATTGTTCCAGGTCAGAAGGTACACCAAACATGCCGCCGCGAATACTGCCACCCAAGTTACATTAACAGAGCTAAGAAAAAGGAGAGGGAAAGTTCAATAAGTAGCCGCCGTTCTTTGCATGAACAGTCCTTTAACTTTGAAACTGACTGTTTCTTCTGCGGAACAAACGTTGATTTGGAGGATCAGAAGAGAAGGCAAGGGGATGTTTTCAGGGTGACAACCCTCGAAACTAAACATACTGTGTTGCAGACCTGTTTTGAAAGGAAGGACGAATGGGCGGAAGTGGTAGGAGCCAGAATATTACATGTTCATGATTTACCAGCAGCCGATGCTATTTATTGTCAAGCGTGCAGCGTGAACTTCAGGATCAAAAAGCTAATCCCGATGCAATTTGCCTCAGAACAGCGTGATGTTAAGAAAAGAAAAATTGGACGCCCACAAGACGAAGAAAAAAATGATACTTTTCTCAAAGTGGCGAGATTTCTTCAGGAAAATGACGACGAGCAAATAACTGTTGTTGATTTAGTTGAAAAAATGAAAGAGTATCTCGGTGACTCAGCCAGTACCGCATACGGCCGCACGCACATGAAGGCGAGGTTACAGGAACACTTCGGTGACCAAATCATTATAACCGAAATCAATGGAGAGCCAAACGTTGTAACATTTAGAAGCACTGTGGCCAATATTCTACATGACTTTCATGCACAGCTAAAGAATATTGATCTGGAAACAGAAAAGCTGAATATAATCCGAACTGCTTCGAGGCTGATCAAGAGCTACATAAAATTGATTAAAACATCAAATGATATCTACCCTTTGATCGAAACAGAAGCTGAGAGGAACGCAATTTTTCTATCCCAGACACTGAAGCTTTTGCTAGATGGTATTCTAGCTAGTAAAGATCAACCTCGTCCCCAGGGCTTTTCCCTCAAAAAATGGGTGGGGCCGGCCCCACCCATTTTTTGAGGGAAAAGCCCTGGGGACGAGGTTGAGTAAAGATGACGTGAAGGTAGCATCGATTGGACAGGCCATCATCCAAGCAGCGCGACCTCGAGTGATTCTAGCGCCTTTACAAGTTATATTGTATTTTTGAAAAGATATCTTCCTTATCTGTATGCTTGAAAACGAGTCGGTTTTAGTAGCTGCGTATTGTTGAGCGATAACGAAGTGTCATAGCCTTTCTTTAGTACCGACCTCTCTGAGGGACAAAAAATGAAATTCTGTATGTCTTTGAGTAAGAAATGTTAAGGAAATTATTTGACTTATACATGATTTAGTGAAGATATCTACAAGATGAAAGTTCACAGAACTGCCTAGAGTACTATTAATCAAATTTGGAAGAATCGGGTGCAGTTCTGGCGATAAACAAGTAGAATAAAAGCAACTTCCGGTTCTCAGCCTCGTTTCCATGTCGCAGCAAAGCGTTAGTTATTAGCCATTTAAATTTTGACATGTTCCCGTGCTTGGATCCTTTGGGACTTTTAGTATGTTAATCTAGAGATTATTCCTAAATGATTGGCGAAGAGAAAGGTTCTGTTGCAATTAGTGGCAGGTCCAGCCACAAAATGACTGGACTAAATACGCGCGAAATGCCGTGTTCGCCTCGCTTATTGGCTCATAAAGCGCCAGCTGTGCAGGCCAATGCGAGGGCGCGAGTTTCTCTCGGGAATAATTATAAACAGTGTGGCGGATGTTTTACGACCTTCATAGACCTTTATTCCTTTATTAGCCTGCGCAGAAACGATGAACATGGCATAGGTAAAACGGCGTGACGGAGAGAGGCGGTTTCAGAGCATATCGAGTAAGCTATATGATGTACAGGTTGAAGAGGGTTAGAATCTACAAAATAATCTTTGATAAAAGCGTGTGGGTGTCAGTACAAGAAGTAGAAGAAGGAGCGGTAATACTGACAGGCCTAGCGGTGGAAAGGCAGATGTTTTTCCAGTTGGCTTGACTTGCCTCTCGGCGCGGCGCAAGAATCCTAAAGGAGAGAAAAGAAAGAATAACGGTTCTTTTATTATTATAAACAAAAACCGATCAGCGGAACGGAAGTCCGATCCGGTCCGTTCCTCCATTTCCTTCCCAGGAGCCCGTATTCTTTTAATATACAGAGCGGCGCATATTCACGAAAAAATTGCAGATGCATCATAACCTCATCAAACATTCAAGAATAGTACAGAGGAACACTAGTGCGGTGAGCGTCGCAGCAAAGTGTAGGTATATGCCTATAGTAATGTGTTGAAATCACTGAAGTGGACGTTTGTACCACAAATTCCTTGCATTCGCAATAATACGTAAATAAGATTATGAAGCAAGACTCGCGGCAAGGGAGGACATTTTGAGTAGCTCCATGTAAGCTTAAATCAAGCTCATTTATAAGATTATATTTTTGCTGCTATAGTAGCTATATAAATTCGCGTCCTGTCTCTGGGTTTTGTTACTGAATTTCTACAGTTTTTGTATTTTGGAAAAAACAAAAGCTTAAGCTTTTCTGTTCAGCACGGGGGTCAGAACGAGGAGGCTAGTACTTCAATGCACCCAACCTTGAATCATCCGCCCACGCAAGCGCTTTGAGAGCTTTTTCTTTAAGCCACAGAAAAAAAGAAGAACTAACGATAAACTGAACCTAAAAAACATTCATTCCACCTGTTTAGTTAAATTACATTTTCGGGAGACGATGTATTGACGTTGACACTTTCAAGTTCAATATTCGCGGCGTGCATGCAAGACTGCATTGGTTCGCCATCTTGCGAAAAAAAGTTATTTCAGTATTCCCCACGATTAATTATTTATCTCCCCAGTTTTTTTTTCATGCGTTCATCCGTTTTTGCGTTTTACGAAGCTCTGATCCAGTGTAAGGAGTTTACCTAGTGTCATCCATTGTAGGTGTGGATGTCGAAAATCTGTGGTGGAAGCTTTCGTCGATGTATGCCTGACATTTAAGCTTAAATGTAGTCGATGTAAGCTTAAGTCGACTAGCTTTTATGCAGCATAATGCGCAAATACGTTTGTGGTCAGTATTGGGATGAAGTTATATTTCTGATGGCAGAAATTCTTCGGTATTTAGTTAGCAAACCTTCTTGCCATTCTGTTGCTTTAATGGCTTAGTTTTAGAACAAACCTAGATGTGGTTTTCGAGTTACACAGTAACTGTAGTCGTGGATTTTGTCTGTTTCTGTCCTTTTAGTTCATTCCTGTTCTAAGTTTATCTCTAGACTTACTCTAGTCTTACCTTTGTCTGCCGACATATCAAAATGGTTGGTAATTTCTTCTGCTAAAATGGGAATATGTGTGCCCTGTCGTTTCACTCGCTAACTTGACCATAAGTTAGCAAGTAAAGACACCTTCCCACTTCGCTTCGTTGTTATTTATCCACGGATTTGTTCTTGCATAATAGTAATTGACAGAATTATTTTATGATTGGTGCAAATTATTACCTAGAATATGCTGGCCAATCACTGTTCTTGAACATGGACACCTATTTCCGCGTGACTCAGTTAGAGTGTGTCTGCATGTTTGTGCTATAAATTCAGACATGACTAACATTTTGTTTTAAACAATAACCTGGTGAAAAAGTAGGGAGTAAAAAACAGAGTACTTAAGACATGAGCTGCCTGCTGCTTCCAGCTAATTTGATACTTGACCAAAACTCGAGAATGAAAACATTGCAGTCTTTTTCGTGTGGTATTTACGTTAGGTTTAGCTTTTGTTTCTTGGTGTGGTTTTAATAATCAATCGACTGGAATCGACCGTGACTGAGCCGCACAGTCCCCCTACATATAGGTTTAGCCTGCATAACACAGGAGCTTTCTGAGCCAAGCGAGACAAACACGCGGGAAATATCGTGTTCGCCTCGCTTTTTGGCTCATAAAGCGTCAGTTGTGCAGGCCAAACCTATATTCGAGGGCGCGAGATTCTCTCGTGAATAAACAGGATTACGGATGTTTTACGACTTTCATTGACCTTCATTCCTTTATTAGCTTGCACAGAAACGATGAACATGGCATAGAAAAACGGCGTGATGCAAAGAGGCGGTTTCGGAGCATATCGAGAAAGCGGTATGATGTACAGGGTGAAGAGGGAGAGAATAATCTCGGTTCAATGCTGCCCATTGTTTTTGTCGACGTATGCTAACATTTAATAAGCTTAACATGTCGTCGATCTAAGCTTAAGTCGACTAGCTTTTATGCAGTGTAATGCGCAAATACGTTTGTGGTCAGTAGTGGGATGAAGTTATATTTCTGATGGCAGAAATTCTTCGGTATTTAGTTAGCAAACCTTCTTGCCATTCCGTTGTTTTAATGGCTTAGTTTTAGAACAAACCTTGATGTGGTTTTCGAGTTACACAGTAACTGTAGTCGTGGATTTTGTCTGTTTCTGTCCTTTTAGTTCATTCTTGTTCTAAGTTTATCTCTAGACTTACTCTAGTCTTACCTTTGTCTGCCGACATATCAAAATGGTTGGTAATTTCTTCTGCTAAAATGGGAATATGTGTGCCCTGTCGTTTCACTCGCTAACTTGACCATAAGTTAGCAAGTAAAGACACCTTCCCACTTCGCTTCGTTGTTATTTATCCACAGAGTTGTTCTTGCATAATAGTAATTGACAGAATTATTTATGATTGGTGCAAATTATTACGTAGAATATGCTGGCCAATCACTGTGTTCTTGAACATGGACACCTATTTCCGCATGAGTCAGTTAGAGTGTGCCCACAGGTTTGTGCTATAAATTCAGACATGACTAAAGTTTTGTCTTAAACAATAACCTGGTGAAAAAGTAGTGAGTAAAATACAGAGTACTTAAGACATGAGCTGCCTGCTGCTTCCAGCTAATTTGATACTTGACCAAAACTCGAGAATGAAAACATCGCAGTGTTTTTCGTGTGGTATTCACGTTAGGTTTAGCTTTTGTTTCTTGGTGTGGTTTTAATAATCAATCGACTGGAATCGACCGTGACTGAACCGCACAGCACGGGCCCTACATATATGTATTTACGTTAGGTTTAGCTTTTGTTTCTTGGTGTGGTTTTAATAATCAATCGACTGGAATCGACCGTGACTGAGCCGCACAGTCCCCCTACATATATGTATTTACGTTGGGTTTAGCTTTTGTTTCTTGGTGTGGTTTTAATAATCAATCGACTGGAATCGACCGTGACTGAGCCGCACAGTCCCCCACATATATGTATTTACGTTAGGTTTACCTTTTGTTTCTTGGTGTGGTTTTAATAATCAATCGACTGGAATCGACCGTGACTGAACCTCACAGCACGGGCCCTACATATATGTATTTACGTTAGGTTTAGCTTTTGTTTCTTGGTGTGGTTTTAATAATCAATCGACTGGAATCGACCGTGACTGAGCCGCACAGTCCCCCTACATATATGTATTTACGTTAGGTTTACCTTTTGTTTCTTGGTGTGGTTTTAATAATCAATCGACTGGAATCGACCGTGACTGAACCTCACAGCACGGGCCCTACATATATGTATTTACGCTAGGTTTAGCTTTTGTTTCTTGGTGTGGTTTTAATAATCAATCGACTGGAATCGACCGTGACTGAGCCGCACAGTCCCCCTACATATATGTATTTACGTTGGGTTTAGCTTTTGTTTCTTGGTGTGGTTTTAATAATCAATCGACTGGAATCGACCGTGACTGAGCCGCACAGTCCCCCTACATATCGGTTTAGCCTGCATAACAGGCGCTTTCTGAGCCAAGCGAGACAAACACGCGCGAAATACTGTGTTCGCCTCGCTTTTTGGCTCATAAAGCGCCAGTTGTGCAGGCCAAACCTATATGCGAGGGCGAGAGATTCTCTCGTAAATAAAAAGTATGACGGATGTTTTACGACTTTAATTGACCTTCATTTCTTTATTAGCTTGCACAGAAACGATGAACATGGCATAGGTAAAACAGCATGACAGAAAGAGGCAGTTTCGGAGCATATCGAGTAAGCGATATGATGTACAGGTTGAAGAGGTTGAGAATAGTTTCGGCTCAGTGCTGCCCAAGAATCCTAAAGGAGCGAAAAGAAAGAATAACGGGTCTTTTATTATTATAAACAAAAGCGGGTCGGCACGGAAGTCACG